CCCGAATCTGATAAGTGTTACAAGACATAATAATGATTTGTTTATTCATTTTCAAATATCAAATTAGTGTCCACCTGTTACCTGTAACCTTAGGAAAACATTTTAAATATTTTTAAAATTTGCTGTACTTTTTTGTAACAAACTTAAATTGCAAAGAAAGTATACCTTGGGCTTTGAAAATTTGAATTGTGTTCGGTATAGCAGAAAGAAGAGTTTAACATACATTCTTTTTATTACCTTTAAACCAAATGTGCATCACTCCACTTCCCTTATGTCCTTCATCTATGTCTACATCTTCCTCTGATTTTTATCACTCATCTTCTTTGAGAGTTTCTTATTTTCTCCATTATACTCGTATCTTCTCATAATTTAGTTTTATCTTTTACCCGTTTCTCTCCAATGTCTCTTTTTCTTAAAATACTGTATTTTTCATGTAAGTTTAATATCTGCTTATTATTCTTTTCCCACTATTTTCTTATTTTAATTTTCATCTTCTCTCCGTATATATAATTTTTTATTTGCAATTGTTCTTGCTGTTACTGTTGTTCTTCTTGTTTTTCCCTGGTCTTTGTAATGCCCTGAATTGTATATTTAATATTAATAAAACCAAACACATTAGGAGACCGTTGTGTCCTTATTAAGATCATAAATATTGACCAATGGCGGGGAAAATAAATGGGGTTATCCCTTAACTAGGCGTTCCAAAAATGTTTTACGTTGAAATCGATTCTGATGACTGACCTACCAAGTATTTGCCTTCTAGTTTAGTATATATAATCATTTATTTTTTTTCACTTGAAATATATTTAATGTTTCTACAGTTCACTTTAATGAAGACATTTGACAACTGGCCGTGTCGATATAAACACTGACATTAAAGTGCCCAGCGATACATACAGAAATAAATTTTATACTTTTGATTCGTAAGACTTTATTTTATTGCCGTGTGTTTCATACTTTAAAAATCAAAATTTGTTTGATTTGTCTTGGAACGTTTTTTTAATAATGAAACGTTGCAAAATATATGAAATCTTGGATAATTGTATGTTAAAGCCATGTTAAATGAGCAAAGAAATTCACAATTCCATATGAAATATTTAAAAAAGACATTTAATAAAGTCATTATCTATATAAAACCATTGACTGTTAAACTGTAGAGTACATGTCTCTTAAATCAAAAGGAAGGCAATCACGTGTACCAGACCACTAAAACTCAAAAGTCATTGCTCTATCGGAATTGTTATTAATGATAATAAAATGTAATCATTGTAAAGGGACCAACATAATGTTATCCTTGGCAAGAAGAGACTTTTTTGACAAATTAAATGAGTAATATGTCGCTCTATCAAATTAGATATAGAGATTTTGGCGAGGTAAATTTGATAAGTAAGCCCGACTTCCATACTTAACCACTCCTTATCAAGTTACGAGTATGTCAATGAAAAGGGGACGACGAAATGTCGAATAGACATCGAGTATTCAAGTCTGTTAACTGCAATCACACAATGAACACTACAGATGTCACGTAATTATGCCAAAATTGCTGAGCCAAGTTAGTAATAGACGAATGCTCAAACTATATCTTCTCTCAAATATATGATCGTTCATCCATTTCGCCTGTTTGAATTTAAAAAGTAGGAATATAATTAAACCTGTCTCGTGTCAGGAATATTCAATTTAGATTTTTTTTCTGTTCTTTTCATTACAGGTGAAATATAAACGAATTAACCACATGTTTCAATGAAAAAATAACCTATGGGTTTTAAATGATAAAATCAGTTTAACCATATCAAACAATATTTGTGTCTCTTAAGCTCTTAAAACAGTTCTTTGTATCAATATTTTACAATCAGAAAAATAACAAGTACCTGTAACCACTGAAATCAAGTAAAGTGTATGTCAGAGCAGCAATTTATTTCATTTTTATTTATCGCATTGCAAATCGTATCTCTTCTGATGTATCTACTCACTTGACCTTATTTGGGTAAACTATGTCTTTTCTACGTTCTTCCTTTTACACTATTGCACTTTTTTCATTATCCCTCATGAACAGACTCAATCAAACTGAGTCTGCAATTTTCATGTTATTTTGTTGTGATTATTGCTGCCCGGGGAACACCCTTTTTCCAGATTTTTATATCACAAGTTTTCTCTATCTAACAAATTTAATTTGGGTGTATTTTTTCTTCATGCATATATTCTTTGTTATGGTATGTACATAATATTATGTTTACATGTAAATATAATATGTAAAATAAATTACTGATAACTGATAGTATTGTATTCACTCTTGCAAGTACTTGTATATGTGTATGGACGATGAACCAACATTTTTTTAAATCAATTTTATTTAATAATTCTGTTTTCTTCGGGTCTCAATTTACAAATTTTTAAATGAAGAGATATTGTTTATGCAATGAATATTGTTAGTTGTTACAGCACTTTTCTGTCAATTAATTTTATTGTCTTTATTTTTTTTGTGTGGTAATAAATAGATAATTCTAAATGTAAAACTTCATAAAGCTAGATTTATCTAGTATTATACCGATGAACAGTTTAAAAATACCAATCAATACATTTTTTCAATTAATGTTATTTTTTTTTAAATTCTAAACATATATAAACATATTGAAAAAAATCTCGTAGCAAAGGACATTAAACGTTTTAATCTACTGTTTGCTATATCGTGATATGTATATACATAATATATGCTGTTATTGGGCCAATGATTGCAACGTGTCTTCATTTTAGTTAAAGTTTAAAAACTGGTATGGAGAGGTCATTGTGGCACACACCAGGGTTTCTCGCATTTAAACATTGAAGTGAAATTATTTGGCTGCTGCTCTTTTCAAATTACTTTTTTCTTCGTAATCTTCACAGTATGGTATTTACATGTATATATCTACAAAACCGAGCACATTTATAAGTCAAGGATTGCCAGTTCATTTCTTACAACAATATCGTAAGGGAAACATCACTTAAGAGTGCTAGAAAGAAATGATTGTACTTATCAATCATGTAAACGCTAATGGCATGCTTGTATCCAGAAAATAATTTCACATAACTTTAGCATAAATTAAGAATAACTTGAGCAGAATTTGATTAGTATTTTAGAACGAAATGGAAGTTAAAATACTGCTTTGTTTATATTATGCAATTTGAACAACACATTACTGCATGTTCTAAAATGCTCTTAATTCATTATCAAAACGTTATTAAACACATGTTTGACATTTCTAAAACATATGGATCTCTGAGGCATAATGTGCCTGTAAGAGTGTTTTACTTCATGATATTTGCATATCCCCATATGACTACTCTGATTATTCGTTAATAAAACATCCCCTCTTTAAGAATATTGATATGTTGAAATGTTTTCGATTTAAAATGTGGTTTAATGATCGGAATTTTCTAAATTTATAATAATTTTAGGTAATCTGTCATCCCATGAATAACTTTTAAAGTTATTACCGAAACTTTCACTGCGTGACTTTATTCATTAAAATTACAAGATGGTGATGCGGCGACCTTGTCGTGAAAATGTAATATTAAGTAAACAGCCTAAATGTTTTTTGCAACTTGTTCTTTAAATAGAAAGACTTGTTTATTCACATGCGGATTCATCAAAACAACTTTTGTAATTGCTGTATTCATTTTACCTATTTTGTTTTTAAAATAAACTATAATTTTTAAACAAATAAGGCACAATAATTGTTTTATTCTTTAAAAAAAACATGTTTATGTCCCAAATGAAATGTGAAGCCATCTTTGTTTGATATAGAAAGTATTTGAGAATATAAGTCATTTTTCGTCATTTTTCATAAAATCTCTATATAATTATTATGTAATTTAAAATTTGAATTCAAGAAAAAAATCTGTAGGCGTTATTCTGATAAAAGTGAAAAGTTGTAGGCGTTTTTCTGATAAAGTGCAGTCCGAAATAAATGAAACCATAAATTGTTTTCAATGTGTTTTTTTTTCTTGCAGTCTTGCAAACTGATTTGTACCGAACATTTCCCTGCACAGAAACGAAACAAACTTGATTGATGCCCAGCGTACTAGATTGCTCTAGTTCGTTTTCAGGAAAAGGTAGAATAAACATTATATTGACATTCCACGTAAAAATACCTATCTTTAAAGATAAAATGGACATTAAAATCGTGTTTCAGTGCACGTACACTTTTCTCTATGTTCATTGATCTGTCCCGAAAGAATATAATTAGATCAAGAGAGTTGAAATCTATGCATCAGTTTAAAAGAGTGAATCTTTATCAAATATTATTTACGTTGGCAACTGCATTTTGACGTCAATTTTGTTAATCGACCAAATCGTTAGAAACTACTCTAGTTTCAGTTGCAAACTTTGCCCAGGGGAATGTTTTTCATCCAATCTTTCTACTACGTTTCTGTCAATATGCACTTACATAACTAGCAAAAACGTCGACTTTAATATTACTTAACAGGCCGGTCAAATCAATTATGTAAGAAATGACGTCCATGTCGTGAGATCATCACACTATGTCCATTATTTATAAGATGATTTTCGCTTCATATGAATAATGAAATCTGTCAGACTGTGAATTAATTTCATGTAGTAATGAAAACTGGCAGGCTGTGCAAAATTGGTTCAACAAAAGGTGAGTAAAGTAAGAAATGTAACATATGTTCCTTAAAGCCATTTTATGTCTTCACTCGTAAAGTTCATATTTTCCATATTTTATGGTAAGGAATGTATATACATCCTTTAATCCACAATGTAAATAAATTGTACACCAATGATAATGTCTTCAGGTAAGTTTTTTCAGTGATGTGTTGGAGAATACCTTTGCATTCAATGGCCATAATCAATTGCCAACTTAATATGAAGCTGATACATGACTTTATATCATACAAAATGTACAATTATAATTGACTGATTATTATAATTTTAATTCAAATAATACAAGTCACAAAACGTTAATGCAAACCATTCTGGGTAAGAAACAAAAACGCATCTTACATAAGCTTTGAAAAGTTTATTATCCTAAAGAAAGATGACAGATGTAAAAAAAAATAATTGAACAAGGATGATTTCAAATGAATGAAAAAATATGCTTTACAATAATAAACAAATTTAATAAATTATGAATAAAAAAGTTCAATAACGTAATATATACGAAACATAGATGGAATGTCAAACAAACATCACAATGAATGTCACACTTTCAGGTGGAATGTCAAAAAAGGCAGAAATAAATATTTAGATGAAATGGAATTATTGCCTTTGACGTAACATACAAATTCAATATGCTATTGAAAAATAAAAATATGAGTTCTAGAATAAACAATATTATCATTATAAAACTAATGAAATTTCTATTAAACAACATGCAGTAAATTTTCAACACCTCCTGTCCACTCTGTAGTTCACCCGGCACATGTGAAGTATTATGCCAAATTAACTAAAACTTGCATCCATTACAGTGATATTTCTCCGCGTAAAAAGGACAATATAATATAATAAAAACATGATATTGCGTTGGTCACAAAGAAGTACAAATATATTTCCATAGTAAAAAATATTTCAAATTTGCCGTTTTCTATCAATACACTTCACAATACTATCATTTTTACAGCACGTGAAAAGTTGTTAAGTCACAACCATCTTATTATTAATATATGCCCCTCAATGTCGTGTCAACTTTATACGACACACAAGTTCAATAAACTTTTTCTTATCAATTGATCGATCTTTGTCGCCCGCACATCCCATAATAGCTTTTTCAACTTCTTCGTCTTCAAATGCTCGACCACTTAAAGTTTTCAACTCTTTAAGAAAGTCAAAAAGACCGGCAATATCGGCTGTACCTTTACCGCCATTTAACTTTTCAAATCTTTCTAGATATTCGTTGGAACTGAAAATGAAAAAAAACACTTTTGTCAAAGAAATTATAACTCAATAATGCCATCTTTATTTAGAAGTATGTCATTCCTATTGAAGTTACAGAATGTGACAGAAAATACCTATATTATTTCGTATTGCTGTTGTATACTGTACAATACAAGATACGTATGTGTTCAAAGTTACACAATATTGTATTTTAGTCATGCAAGGTAAATACAAATGTAATTAAACAAAAAAAAAAAACGATACGTCAAAGTTTAAACATGAACGGTTCATAAGAAATCTTTTAAAATGTCTGTTAATGATAGATAAGTTTAACATACTGACAACAAAAGTACCACTGGCAATTCATTAAAGAAATGAAACTGGCAATTCTTTAAAAGAAGTAAAGATACACACCAACAATAGATTTTACAATAACACAATGCATTGCAACGATTTATAAGCCATTCTTTAAACGTTTTGCTATAAAAAAAATCCCATCCCTTGTATATTTGGTTTAGAACCAACCAGACAGTCTTAAATAACGCTTGTCTGACCAGCCAGTAACTAAAATTGATCTATTGTTCAACTATGGATGTACAAATAAAATTTGAAACAAGCTTTAATGACATTTAGTATACAAAGCAAGAAAATTTAATCTAAAGTTTAGCGACATATTTTGGTATATCATTCGTGACCTGCAATTACACCATTCTAAATAAGCACGATAAATTGTGGTTGTTTTGTTAAAAGTCTAATATCTTTTTCATTTGTACTTTAAACGTCGAACGCTAATGAACGACTTTGAGTTCACTATTGTCTAGCTGGTCCGTTGCGTGAATTCGCTCGCGGCAAAGAAACATTTCAAAAAACAATAGGTCTATGTGACATTAAAGTTCGATATGTGTTTCAATTAATTATAGTTCCTCGACCAGAAAGGTTAGTATGCCATTAATAAGACATTCGACTGTGAGAATGGACAATTTCACTAAAATATAGACATTTGACAAACGACTATGTCACTATTAACATTGGTATTAAAGTCTTTTGATAATGGTTGAACAATTTTAAAAAATGCATGTTATTCGGTAAAATTACATTTTTGTTCTTTATTTTGATAAAGAGGTAAAAAGTGTTTGATTTTGGAATTTGCCGTTTTGGTTTTGAAATATTAACTAACAAGTTAGTTATAAATGTATAACTTAACAACTTTATTGCATAAATTAACATTCCACATGTAAGTTAACATTCTTTTTATATATTTTATAAACTTTCTTAACAAATGGTTTATAAATTTATCTACATTTATTTTATCAACTTATTTATAAAATCTGAGAAATTTTATATAACTAAATTACTTTCTCATAAAATTACAGAATATAAGACACATACACTTTTCATATCTTACTTAATCCCCAGAGAAAGCCTTAAACGACAGAATTGAGAATGTGCAGGCCAGGCTTGATTGAGCCTGTTCATGGAAGGTAACTAAAAGTGTAAGTTACCGTCCACGTCCCCCAGCACCGGCTTAAGCAGAATTAAAAAGAATCAAACTTACTTATATCCAAAAGTGGTATAAAATAGATAGAATTCCCAGGCACTAAGGATATCATTGCCGTCTTTATCGAACATTTCGAACATAAGTTCCGATCTATCGTCATCAAGCTGGAATTCCTCCTTAAACATCCGTAATGCAGTGACTTTGTTCAGTCGTCGGACAAAGTTAATTGTGTATTTGTCGAACACCTTTTGTACTTCATCTCTGAAAAAAGGCAAAATCAAACATTAACCCTTAACAAGCTGAATGTCATAAATGGACTTGCCAAACTTTCATTTTAGGCAAGTCAACTATCAATTTTTAGGAATTTAGGGACACATGTATCAAGATGGAAATTAAAAGATATTCAGTCAACAAAGTGTACGTATATGCAGGCTGGCCTAGCTTTATACTGGTGGCAAGTCCAGAAATGTAAGGGGAAGAATTCTATTTTGAGCTATTTATTCTGCTAATTTTGATTATAGTAATCTACATTTTTAAGTCATTCAGATTGTTTTGTATTTAAATGATGAAGAATGCAAAGTACCAATGTCCTCGGAAGAGAATATTTGATCTTTCTGCGCAATGAGCACAACATTTATTGATTGAATGATTGTTTTATCGTTCCCATTCATAAAGCCGATGGCGTCTACAGTGTTGCATCACGTGGACAAACCACCAGTCACATGAACGTGCTGGTAAACATTATTAAACCCATAATATAAACCGTCCGGTGATTGAACCCGTCACTTCCCGCGTTCCAGAGGGAAGGCCTTCTACTACGTAACTGTAGTTTTGGTATATATTATAAATGACTTATAAAACATATCATTAATTAGTTATCGTACATGTGAAATAAGCTCAAATAATATTAGAATAAATCTAGATGCGTACAAACACTTTAAATCAACAACTTAAATGCACATTTACCTATACATTTTAAATTAAAAGTACGTGTAAAATGTAATAAAGTTTTCTCTATGATCATGTTGCAATATTAATTTAAAATAATCAGAAACAGATGAACGCGCAACTTGTATGTCTTTATCAACACGCGATCATTGAAGCAGTTCGCGCGCATTTCAAAGCAGACGATAAATTTGAATTTAAATATGTCGTCAAAGGGTGATATAAATTTCCTTTTATGTCAATTTCCAGGATGTAAAAACGTAATTTATAGCCGTCATTTGTCTTCATTTAAAATCAATTATTGCATGTATAAAACATTCACTTTGCCAGGATTTGCTATACATGTATAGTGTGTTTCTATAAACAAAATCAAATTATAATATCTTTAATTAGAATATCAAGTTAAAATAAATGATGCAATTGCAAAGAACTTTGTCTTTTTGCATCCATTGAAGTTGACAAACAATGCTAACTTAGGCCAACGTTATTATTAATGACCTTGACATTTACTTTTACGTTCAATAAAAGAACAAATATGGCACGCCATGTGACAAGGTACAAATTGTATATATCATAGATTTTGGCAAAGAGACCAATAATAAATAAAACTCAGACAATGGGGTAAAGTATGATTTAAAGATAACTACATATAGTTATGATAATTACAATTACTTAAATATACTGCATGCCTATAATTGACCAATCAGAGCATTGTTCTCATTATGTCAGAAAAAGTATAAGAAAGTGTTACAAACTAAAATGTGACCGCCTGATGTTATGCTGTAACACGCAAACCATTTCTTATTGTTAATGTTTCATGATTATCGCGACGATAAACTCTAATTCGTTTTGATACATTTTAACATGTTAATAGTGTGAATTCATCTCGCTTAAGCAGGAAATGGCTATAAAAAATGTAAGATTCGATCTTCTCAGATCATACAACTTTTTATTTTTTGAAAATATCGAAAGAACAATGTTTTAAGATGAGTAAGATTATGTAACTTGAAAGCTGAGTATGGTGCGCAATCGTGGTGCACAGAGTGTATTTTGTTATGATATAAATTTTATTTTTCGTTAGTGCGTTAAGTGATCATTTCATAGCAAATTATTTTGAGAGAAAAACACTTTTTTGCGTCGAAAAATATATTCATGTAATGTGAATGACCCTGCTTTAATAAACATATAAAACCTTAGAGTTTGTTTTTTTATGAATATTTGTTTAAATTAACGTTTAAGTTTAATGGATGTATTTTACAGAGATGACTTTTCACTATTTGTATAGGGTCGTTGACCCCGTGTACACGAATAAATCGCATTATAAAGAAAGAAGAATGTCGTCCAACATTTAATACAATGATGTATTAAAATGACTTTTAACAAATTAAACTGTTGTTGTAAGTTTCTGATTTATCATTGAGTAAGCATCGTGAAATTTTGGTGAAGCAACATTTTTAACAATCACTAACTCTTCCATTGCACCATAAAATAACTGCACGACTCATTAGGTTATAAGGCGTGCATCGGATTCGGACAGATGTTGCTTAGAAGAAGAGACGGTGTAGGGGAGGGGGTATTTTGGTAGCTGATGAGATCGGCAATTCTACACAAATGATGGAGTTTAACGCAATTTTTTGATTTATTTGAAAGTAGATAATTTTCTGGGTTTGTTTTCGAATATTACTTATATAAGACTGACCATTAAAGATAAAATTATTGAACATAGAGTTTATTAAGCTGTATTTGCAAAAATCATCTTTATCGCTCATAAGGGCGTAAGTTATTACTTGAATTTTAAATCGTTTTTACTTTTTCCTACATTTCTCATTCATCAGAAGGCATGCAGCTTTAAAGTGATGTTTAATTTAGAAAGTCACTAAACTTCGAAATGTTGATTTTGAATATCAAAATTGTTTTGAGTAATACGTTCAGTGTTTATAATGATTATCCATATAGGTAGTGGTTAAACATAAATAAAACAACGCGTGGTGGAATGGGGAGTTTATCAGCTAGTATTGATATAATAGCTAATAATGATTTCCATTTTTTGAAATACGAAACGAAAAAATAATTTCTAGGTATTTTAGAATTTCCCCTTATACCTAAGTAACTGGTATCTTTTTGTGTTTGCGTGTGGGAAAATTTATAACCCTAAAGTGCTAACAAAAGAACTGTTTGTAATGCGGGTTTTTTATAATTAATAACAAATTTTGTATACAAGATATTAAAGTTAATATAAACAAAATGAAGGGA